GAAAAGGAAATTCTTTACAGACAGAAAGGAAACCAATGTTGCATGTATCTAGGAAGAAGGGTTAATGGGGAATGGCTGCTAACTGCCATAGGGCTCCTTTTTGGGGTGATGAAAATCAATCTCCCTTTCTCTCTCCCCAGATATCTACCTTTCTCTAAAATATATGTGTAGCCAAGAAGAATTCCCTCTTTTTTATTTTTTAGGATATTAGACATCTTTTTTTAAATTGCAAAATGTAAAGGCAATCAGTACTTACAATGCACCCACCATGAGGCAGTCATAGAGGAAAGTCCTTTATATATGTTAATGTAAGTCTCACAAACTATTCAGAACTGAAAATATGCCCAACTCTCCAGATAAAGATTGTGGAGCTCAGAGATGCTTTATTGATTTTGCCCTAATATCAGTGGTGGAATTAGGATTTCAGCCCAGATCTGTCTGATTTCAAAGTCCTGCTGAGTTGACATTCCTCTACTGGACAAGGAAAATTTGGTTTGTGATTTTGTATTTCATCATGGTTCTGTACTCACTGGAGAGCTCACTCAAATGAGTCACACTTCTCAGAGTATCTCTGTGTCCTCCTTGGGAGAAAGAGTGGGGAGGGAAAGGATGAGGGGAGGGAGGGAAAGGATGAGGGGAAGGAGGGAAAGGGAAACCAGAGAACTCAGCTGAGTGCTTGAGGTTAACCTAAACCCAACTTCCCCTAGTTGAGCTGACATTTGCAGCTTGACAGCTTCTAGCAATACACTTTTACTTAATTAGTTGTGTAAATTTGAAGAATACCAAGTGGTGTTCTGGATCAGAAACCATCAGTTCATTGTGGCAGTGCTTGTGCTTCATGCCTGTGAACCCAGATGCCCTGCCTCTGGATAATAAGTAAGCAGGTAACCCTGGGGAAATGGGAGGAAACACAGTACTACATGCAGATTCTGCACTTGTTCTCAAAGCAAATCTCTGTTGCTGTGGTTGAAATTAAGACCTTACAGAAAAAGATAATTACAACTTCCGGAGTATTTTTCCTTGTATTGTGTGCTGTTATAGTCACACAAAACAATGCAGGTGACATATAAGTTAAACAATGTAGCAATAAAATGAATACTCATGAGCACTGATTAACAGAACAGCAATTTTAACAGCAGCATTGCATCAATACTACTAGAATATAAGCCCTTTGAGGGTATGGAGTTTTGTTTTGTTCACTGCTGTATTCCCCAGGACTTAGAATGGTGCCTGGTATACAGTAGGGAATTAATAATATTTTTAAAATAAATACACAAATCCACTCATATTCTCTTTCTTTGGATCATCTCCTCCAGCCTCCCCTCACAGCTAATCATTATTTTATATTCCAGGTTTATTATTCCCTTGTTTTTGATGCTTTTTTCACATATATATTTCTAAATAACACAACATTTGCTTTGGCTGCTTTTAGAAGTTTAGATGATAGAATTATATGTGTGCTATTGTGAGTTAGGTCTGTTATAAAACATTAGTATGTGGGGTTCATCTATATAAAACTTTATCCAGTTCCTTATCATTGCTGAATTGTATTTTATTAAATGAGTGTCCCATAATGTATTTATCTTTTCTCCCATCAGCATACATTTACCAGTTCAGCTTTTATAAACAAAACTGCTATGAGCATTCTTGCATGTGCTTCCTGGTACACACGTGTATGAGTTTTTCTAGGATGTAAACTTGGGAGAAGGACTGCAGCTGGAATTTTCATTTCCAACTCCCAAAGGTTAGCCCAGGAGTCAAAACTGTAGTGTGCCCTTTGTCTGCACTAAGCCAGGGTCAGTGGGAGTGCTGTTCAAAATATTTTGAAAGAGAGAGAGAGTTGAAAACTTGTCTGGTGAGACCAGGAGTTATCTCAGGCCTCTAGGCAAAGGGAGATATAGTTAGTAAAAGCCTAGATTCTAAAATCCTTTTCATTAATTCTCTTCTGTTTTTACAGGCTTTTTTGTGCAATGCATGCTTTATTAAACTCATATTGAATAAAATGTTGATTAATTAACTTAGTCTTTCATTGACTATAAATTTGATTAGATTATTGTATATAATAACAATATTTAAAATTTCACTATAGATGAAAATTTATATTATTATAATTTTTAATGATAATAACAACTAACTAACATAAGGTCTACCCTCATAATAATATTTAAGTGCACAATATTATATTGTTAACTAGGCACAAGTTGATCAAGAGACCTCTAGAACTAACTAACCTTACATTACTAACCATCCATTGAACAATTCCCCATTTCTGTTTCTTAAAGGCCCTTACAAGAGGACTTCTTATTTCCTTTCTGCAGGTTTCCATTTTGTTGCCATTTTGATATTTATTATGTGACCACATAATAATAATGTTATCATCTTCATCTCAGTTATACCTACATACTTTTTTGGTGTGGAGGTGTACCAGGGATTGAACTCAGGGACACTCAATCACAAAGCCATATTCCCAGCTGTATTTTTGTATTTTATTTAGAGACAAGATCTCACTGAGTTGGTTAGCACTTTGATGTTGCTAAGGCTGGCTTTGAACCCACGATCATCCTGCCTCAGCCTCCCAACCTATTGGGATAATAAGTGTTCACCACTACACCCAGCTACCCTTATATACTTTTATGCTATTGAAAAAAATAATCCTGCCTTTGAGGTGCATTCACATCTGCAGAAAACTGAACTGTATATCATTTACTATATCTTACTGTTCTTTGCTCCTTGTTTTTCTTTTTCGCTAGAGAGTGAAAATATCTTGATCACCAGTATCCCTAGAACCTAATTTTGTACCTCATCCATAGGGGTAGTGCCACATGTTGAACTGAACCAATCTACCTAATCTCAAACTTCAATCTCCATAACGTGGTTTTCTAGTGATTAAGAATCTACATTTTGGAGTCATACTTACCTAGGATGGAATTCTGGCATTGCAGTTTATAGACCTGTGATCTTGGGCAAATTTACTTAATTGTGCTGAGCACCAGTTTCCTCTTCTGCAATATAGGGATGATACAGAGCTACCTGGAAGGGCTGTTGGGAAAATTAAATGAGATGATTATGAAATGATCTGTCATGTGGAGTGCTTAAATACAGACTCCTCTGATTTTATTTGAACTGTTTGTGTTACTTATAAAAGTCAAAAAGGTGAAGAGAGGAGGTAGAATCTTGTGTAAAACTTTGGCTTCTCCTTATTTCAGGACTGAGGATGGAAACACATATTTTACCCATGGAAATGGTACTTTATCCCAAAGAAAGACATTCTTTGCATTTGTCTGAATTGTAGGTCAGAAGTAAGTTCCATTCTTGTGAAATGCATGGCCTTGCTAGTCTTGATTTAGTGGTTAGACTCTTGATGGCATTTTACTTAGGGAAGGACAGGGAAGGCTTGCAAGGAGAGTAGATTGGCTACCTGTTTATAGAATATTTCAAGTGCTTTTTATTGTACCTAGGATTTGAATAAAGGCTGATATTTATCTTGGAGATTCAGTAATTGTAAAGTATAGCCTAAGTGAAAACTTTCTTGGCTCTTGCCCTGCCTACACGGGGGGTTGAGTGGAAGATAAATATTGATGCATTTTTGGATTCCAATGCATGTGTTAAGCATGATAAAAAAACAAGCCATTAATAGGAAGTAAAAAAAAAAGTAGTGGGAAGATGATAGGGTGAAGAAAACTGTTGGATTTGGAGTCAAACCATTCTGAGCTGTCCTCTCCATGTCTTAACTTTTTTTCATCTTTACAATGAATATACTAATGAGAAAGTATTCTTGTCTTGACAAGTTGTGGAGTGTTGAAATGACCCAACACACCAAACAGGCTCCCATTAAGTCTTATTTTCCTCACTAAGGAAGAATTACTCGTAAAATATAGGAGTTATATTCCTGTGGTTGAGAGTTGGGCAGTTGTCATCTATCTGAAGCAGATTAACCACAGGTGGCCACTGAGTTTTACTTATGCTTAAGCATGGGACATAGGAAAGACCTAAATTGACCTTTGGTTACTAATAACCATGTTCTATTTGTTCAAACTAGAATTAATTACAATGGGAGATTAAGAATTACCATTCCATGAGGGTTTTGGATTGACTTTCTTGCCCTTCTCTTTCACTTCCACCTAGAAGAATTCAGGCACAAATATTCTTATGGTTAGGCAGTCAACTAGGTGACTTCTGAAGTTCCATCATTATTCAAGGAACCTATGAATTTTGTAATGGCCAAATGTTTTGATAACAACCAAAACAATGTCCAGCATCACTGTGTATTATTTCTCAACAAAAGCTTCAGGCCTACCTAGAGATTCTGCTACTTAATTTTGTAGAATGGGGCAGGGGAATATGATCTGGAGAGACTTTTAAGGGAAGTGAAGGAATGGAAGAAAAGACCATTGAAGACTAGCTTGATAATACTAACTGTGATCCTTCACCTGTGTATTCATCCCAAGGACCATTGTCTGATTATCCATTGTCTGACTTATATTGCCACTCATAGTAGCAACTCAGTAGAATGGGTGATATTATCCCTATTTTATGGATGAGATTCCAGGGTTAGAGAGCTAAAGGAGAACACAACAAACTGTTTTGATATTTGGTGTAGTTTGGCTATAGATTTTGTTTCAGATGAGATAAAGCTATAGGATACTGTTTAATTACTCCGAAAATGTTGCCTGACCACCCACTTAAATTAGATAACTTAACCTCAGGTTTCCTGCCTATATTCTTGACTCATATAGACATTTCCTATGAGATTGCTTTATCCCAGAGAACTTTCCTAAATCCCATAGCAGGATCCAAATGGTCTGTCTACACCTGAGGAAACCCTACAAACACCATCCTTAGAAGAAATCCCAGGAAAATTCAGCTTCACAGTAACTCATTTGAGCAATGAATAATAGTAGTTTATGCATACAGTTTATTCCTTAAGACTTTAGGATTCTGCCCTCCTATGTCTGCTACCCACTGACATGTTTTGCTTTGTGATTTGTGTGTCTTTCTAGTTTGGAGAATGCCAGGGACCACGTTTTGCCCATCGACTATTACTTTCCACCTCAGAAGACATGCCTGATCTGTGGGGATGAAGCTTCTGGATGTCACTATGGGGCTCTCACATGTGGCAGCTGCAAGGTCTTCTTCAAAAGAGCTGCTGAAGGTAAAGCCTTATGCACACTCACTTCTATTTCTCTTTCTCCTTTTCCTCTCAGAGTGACACATTCCAGGGCCCAGGATTCACGTTGGTGATAGGGTCATTGGCAGGGCTGTCTTATAAAACTCAGAAGCGCAAAGAAGCAGATTTTCATACTTGCTGGTCTCCAGGCTTTGGCTCCCTTGGTTGTACAGGCAATACAGGCAATGAAGGTGGTCCCAGCTGGTGCTTGGTGTTCAGTGGGTCCTAGGAATAAAAGAAAAATTAATGATTTGAAAAATGTAATTTCCTTCCTGCTTGTTTTCCACTCTGCTGCCTAGTGAGGGAAAAAATTGTCCTTATTAGAGAGGTTAGAAGTGGAGAAACCCCAACTGAGTCCCCAGCCTGTTCTCAGTGGTGAATATAAGACTGTTCCTCCGCAAAAGACTTCCTGGCCTCAGCCCCAGAAAGGAAGTGTTCTCGCTGTTCAGCAGACCATCAGTCTCTGCACCTGCTCCCTCCTGCTGCTGCCTCCTTGGGATCTCTCTTTGCATTAATAGCTCCTGAGTAGGTAAGAACCCAGAGTGAAAAAGGGCTTTTATTGTCCTCACTAGAGGAATGACCTCAGGGCCTCCTCATTGGTCCAGAATCTCAAGCTAAGTAGTATTTTATATCTATCTAAGTAGGCTGAAATCCTGGTTGCTTAATCCTATTTCACTTGAAACAACTCATGTCTGCTCAGCACCCAGAGGTGCTCCTCCTATATCCTATAGGATGAATTGCCATTTTCAGACCTGTTATATATTCTAGTGACTGTCCTAACCACCTGGGGCTTAAGCCCCTATTTGTCAACTTCACTCCCCTCCTTGTACTAAGGGCTTCCTTCTCAAAGGGACACTGTACACTAGCCCCACACAAAGATTCTCTGCTATGTGGCCAGATCTGATTGTTAAACACCAGTGTGCTCGCCTGCCCCACTTTCCAAAAAGCAGCTACTTTCTCCCAAGGCCTTTTTCTCTTCCTGGTCTGGAAGAGTCAGAGTTCTAAGTCACAACCAAGACAGAGAGCCTTTCCTCATGTAAGGGCTATAAATCCTGAGGACAGTCTTAAGAGAGGTATGTAGGTCACACCTTTCACCAGGAATGTGCTGATATCCATCAGAGGGCAGCAAAAGTACTGGAGAGTTCTTGGGTTCAAGAGGAAAAGTAGAAGTCTGGCATGGTGGCACATACAATATGGCAGGGGTGCATATTGCTGTTAATCGCAGCAACATGGGAGACTAAGGCAAAAATATTCCAAGTTCAAGGAGAGCCTCAGTAACTTAGCGAAATCCTCAGCAACTGAGACCCTGTCTCATAAAATAAAAAGGCCTGAGGACATGGCTCGTGATAAAGTGCCCTTGGCTTCAATCCCTGATACTGCCAAAGAGAAAGAGAGACAGACACACACACACACACACACACACACACACACACACACACACACACAGAAAGAGAGAAAACAAAGTTAAAAAATAGGTACCCTTTAACTTGCCTCCTTTTTGATAACCAATCATAAATGATGATGGTAGTTTCATCATTTTCTTCCAGTGCCCAAAGACATAAGGAGGCAATTAACATTTTATTTTACTAAAAACATGCTTTATATTCCAACTATACCCCTGCAACTGTTCATGATGGGCTAATACAAAGTTCAGGGCCCATGCTACATACAGGCAATTTCAAAAGACCTGAGAGAACTGCCTTCCCTTCTTAACAGTACTTATGAAAGATGACTGTCAGCAAAGGAAGTAAGGAGAAGGTTCAGGGACTTTAGATTACCCCAGCTTTACCAGTAATACCCTGACACTTCCCCATACCCTGTCATCTCAAAGGCACTGTATCTGGGGCAGTGAATGGTCCAGAGAAGCTGTCTAGTATTTCAGCAAGTCCGGCACCACAGTAGTTAGTAGTCATATCAGATTTTGATATGATAGAAAATGAGTTCAAGTAAACATGCAAATAAACAAATTCAGTAATAAAATAGATTAGATTATACTAATGTGGGTTTTACAAATCTAGGTCATTAAATTGTTGTTTTCAAAAAATGGGGAAAGTGATCAACCATATGGTGAAGGATAGATTTTGCTGTCACATTATATTTCCCACATGGGAGATTCATAAAGAACTTAGGGCTGAAAGAAGGAGATGGGCAGAAGGGCATTTGGTGGGGGTGTGTACATGGGAGATGCTCTGCTATGATGCAGATCCTGGGCTATTTAAAACAGTGAAGAGAAGTGATGAGGTAGTGGATGGAAGGAATAACCCAACTTTCAGAGTACTTAGAAATCCTATAAGATCTCAAAATGCTGCAGACCCTAGAATCACTTAAGTTAGGGAAACTATTGTCTTTAAGAAATTGACCATCTGTGAGCTCATGGGATCAAAATCACTTGAAAAGCCATAGACAGACAGCAAGCCTTTTGAGCCTATTGGTTACTTTGAAAAATGGACCCCAGATTCCAGTCTTGAGGCCTTTGAGGAACAGGAGAAGGGGGTTTAAAAATAACACACACAGATGTGGTGACACATCTGTAATTCCTACAACTTGGGAATCTGAGACAGGAGGATTGCAAGTTTAAGGCCAGCCTGGGCAATTGAATGAGCCCTTGTCTCAAAAAGGGCTGGGGATGTTAGCTCAGTGGTAGTATGCCCCTGAGTTTTAATCAGCAATACCCAATCCCCCACATTCCCCTCACCACACACACACACACACACACACAAAAAAAAAACCCCTCAAAAATAAATAAATAATTGGTGTTTTGGTGTTTTCTTTCTCCTCCCAGCAGCTATAAAGTTAGAAGGCTTGAGTTTACTGCTGTCATTATCCTTATTTGAAGGCAGGGGGCTGTCTTATTACCTAAGGAGAACATTTATTGATTTGTTTTCTTTCCATTTTTACAATGCATCTTTATTGCCCAAATAGCCTTTCTGAAGGTGGTTCTGCATTTGCCTGGCTTATACTTGGAATTCTACCTGTTTTGAGAGAGTAGGAACACAAATCTTTCTCTTCCTCATTTGTTTGTTGCTCTCAGCTAACTCATAATGAGTATTCTGAGTGTTGATTATCACTTTATTCATAGTTTTCAGAAATCTCTGGACTGGGCACAGGTACAAGAGTTAAAAGCCTGGTGTGTCAGACAGAAATGCATTTCTAGATTTGGTGGTTCATAAAGCATGAAGCTTTAATGCTGTCACTGGTGAAGAGCTCTGCACAAAATCTAAGGTAATCTGGCCAGGTTCCCCTCCCCCAACCATCAGGGAAGTAGAGGGGGAAGAGTCCCACATTTTCTCATTGTTAGTAATACCAGGGAATATGAATGAGGCAGGGAATAATTTGCATATTTTTGAAAGAAGAAATAATGGTATTAGGCCATAAGGGTAAAATCACTAAAATCTTTAGTAAGTTTCCCTTGAATGTGGAGGGGTATGGAGTTGTTTGGGGGATAAACTGTGGGTTAGTAAAAAGCATGAGTAAAAGAGCAGGTTTGTGGTGTGAGTAGAGGAATTGGAAATGAAGGGGAAGGCATGTAGGATACTATCTACAAACCTAGGAGGTCAAACGAAGGTAATACTCATATAGAGCAACTTACAGAGATTTGGTTGTGTAACGTTGAATAATAAATTCCCTCCTTTCAACCTCAGTTTTCCTTTTGTAGTATAAGGGGAGGGGTTGGACTAGATGTTTTTATAATGTCCTTTTGGCTTAGACTTTTTGTGAAAGTTGTACAAATATCATCACCTTTATTACAGCTATCATGCATTTATACCTGTGTACACTTTTGGTTTTGCCTTCCCAATAGGTGGTAATCCTCAGATCCTAATTAATAAAGATGGTGCCAGAGCCAGCTAGAGAGCAAGTGCACTATGCACAGTAGGGTTAAAACCAAAGACTCTGAGATTCTCCCTTGTGACCATGGCTGGGTAACTTCCTTTCTTTTCCATTTTCTCATCTGGAAAATCAGGATATGAATCCCCATCTCCCCCTCATCATGTTTCAAAGAGGGTTAATTAATTCATCATGTGCATTATGTGCTCAAGAATTTACTATTTTTCAGACATTTTCTAGTAAAACATTAGAGATTGTACATCCATTTGTTTTGTACACATGGAGCGCTGTTTGGTACACATCATAAAATTGAAACTGTAGTTTACATTCTGAGCTCAAAGAATTACACCATCCTCACTGATGTTTACAATAGGTCCCAATTTAGTTTCCTTGGCAGATTTTATATAAGTATGGCTTTGATTCTCTCTCATGCCCCAGGTTTTTGTGAGGGAAGAAATGTAAGTGAACCCATATTGAACTCTTTCTGTCCTTTAAATCCACTCTTTCCCACCTCAACTCATATGGAATTGAATGTTACCTCCTTTTTGGAGTGTTGCAGAGAGTTTTTGGTGAATGTTAGTTTCCTCTTCACTCCCTGACTTTTTCAGTAACATTTCCCAGGGGCAAATTAACTCTGCCAGGAGGATCTGCTTATAGCTTCAATAGACTTTATCAGGTATCTTTGGCCAAGAAGTTGACTGGTCTTGACTTTGTGAGTCTTAGAAATCTTTTCACAAAGCTCCTCTCATCTTTCTGTTTCTCATTTTCTTAAAAAGTCACTGCCAGACTTTAGATCAGAGGTTGATAAACTTTCTGTAAAGGGCCAGGTAGTAAATATTTTAGGCTTTGCAGGTCACATGGTCTCCCTCCTCTCAACTAGTCAGCTCTGATTTTGTAATGTGAACTCAGCAATAGACAATACACAAACTAATAACTGGGCTCCAATAAAACTTTATGGGCACTGAAATTAGAATTTCATTTAATTTTCACGTTATGAAATAATATATTTTTTTTACTCTCATCAACCATTAAAACTGTAAAACTTAATCACAGTTCTTACAACTCACAAAAACAGGTGGTATACTGGATTTGGCTTTTGGGCTACAGTGTGTTGACCAACACTGAACATAGTTGTAAATCTGCATAATAATTTTTCTCTT